AGGGTATTAGTCACAGCAACAGAAATGAAAGTTTTAGAAATAATCTGTATGTTTATCCTCAAGTAGGGTACCACTTGTTTCAAACTGTTTATGAAATAATCTATACCCTTATTAACATGGCCATAAGCTAATTGAAGAAGATCGTAAAAAATGAAATTTTAATGACTTGAGGAGGGAGATAATTGATAGATATAGGACATTGATTTTTCTTGTCCTAACTAAACTAAAATATTTAAGGGGTTTTGTTTACCAGATATTATAAGGAGAAAGGAAGTCACGTGATACCTCTTAATAACAAAGGAAATCAAAGAAAGGGGAAGGAGAGAGAAAAGAGAAAAACCTGCCCAGAATGTAAGTGGTAGAAGAGCATAGATGTAACTAAGACTAAGCCCTCTTAACACCTCAGCTATACTCTCATCCAGCATGTTTTCTTCTTAGAAGGCTAGGGGTGGTCTTAACAGTGGTTCTCACCTTCCTAATACTGCAACCCTTTAATACGGTACCTCATGTGGTGACCCCCAACCATAAAATTTTCATTGCTACTGTTATAAATCGTAATATAAATATCCTATATGCAGGGTATCTGATATGCAACCCCCAAAGGGGTCATGACCCACAGGTTGAGAACCACTGACTTTGGGCATCTGCCTAACATGTGCAAGCCTTGACTATCCTTTGCACTGAAAAAGGAAAGAACTGTGTTTCTCTGTCCTGTTCTCACATTTCCTCTCTGAACTTCAGTTTCCACAGTGTTCTCTGTAACTTTCATGAATGGACAGTAACCAATTGATAATGGTAATAAAATAATAGGATATATCCTAAACTGTTTTTGTGTGATGGTTATTTTTGTCCCCCTGACTAGGCCATGGTAGTGTTTTATGTTGCTGCCCTAGGTCCCGGACTTGCTGGTCTCCACAGTCTCATGAGCTAGTTCCTTAAAATCATTCATTCTACCCCACAGTCTGGGGTTAAATTCCAGTCTTTGATTAGTCACTCCCTGCCACACTTTTGGCTGCTCCAATTCAAATAATTGTATCTCCTCCACACCTCAGAAGCCGAATGTGGTTAGAGAGAAACACACAACCACTCTGACTGATCTCACTTAGAAGTTGTGACCACATATCCCAAGAGGGCCCTTCATGCTATCTGGCAGTGCTTCCTCCTTCCTCTGGTCAATTGACTTTTCCAGTCTCCAAGACAGCTACAGTATTTCATACCCTCTTTCCTACTCCTTATTCTCAGCTCACTTTCCAGGATGACCTCACAGTTTATGTCACTGAAGGGTGAATTTTTTAAAAAATGGAAATGTTTTCTCCTCTTTCCACTACCACTGGCCTATTATTACCCTCTTTGTTTCCATTGCATGGAATAACGGACTGCCTATGCTAGGGCTGGAACATGGCCCCTCTTTCAGTTACATCTTCACCATCTTTCTGTTTTTGATGGCTGCCTTCACTGCCTAAGCTTGGCTGTCCTTGAACTTGCTCTGTAGACTATGCTGGCCCCAAACTCAGAGATCTGCCAGCCAATGCCTTGAGTGCTGGGATTAAAGGTGTGCCCCACCCCATGTGGGTAGGGTCTTTATTCCATTTCTTAATCCATTATCTCCTTGAACATAGAATTTAGCTCTGTTCCACTTCTAGTGTTTGCTTTCTCCTCCAAATTTACATTAGGTAATTTACCCTGCTCAGCTTGCTCCTTTTCATTATAAATCTTCATTAGAGTTACCACTAAAACCTAGACTTTTGAGATTTCCTTTGCCAATGGAATTAATCCTAATGTTTCGTGTTAGCCTCAGGCAGACTTTTTGACAGGGGCAAAAAAAATAGCCATATTTACCAAAATCTCACTAGACCAGTCCCTAGACCACATACTAACATTCTTCTTTGAAACCTCTTTATTCGGCCTTCCCCTCCCTGCAACAGTTTAAATCACATTCAGCACCACTGTCTTCCATGTCCCTGTTCATAACGCCCATTAAACAGCACTTAAAGCATTCCACTGCTTTCCTAACCCACAGCCCCAAGGTCCATATACTTTCCAACAAACGCATGGTCAAGGCCTAACACATCAATGCCCTAGTCCCTGGTACTACTGTCTTTAGAGTTTTTATTGCTGTGAAGAGACACCATGACCATGACAGCTCTTATAAAGAAAACATTTAAACAGTTCAGAGGTTCAGTCCATTATCATCACGGTGGGACATGGTGATGGAGAGAAAGCTCAACATGCTATATCTTGCACAGGTGACAGGAAGAGGTCTGAGACACTGGGTGTGACTTGACCATATATAAGACCTCAAAGCTAACCCTACAGTGATACGCTTCCTCCAGCAAGGCCACACCTCCTAATATAATAGTAGTGCCTCTCCCTGTGAGCTTATGGGAGCCAGTTACATTGATACTACCACAGGCAGAGAACTTGAGGGCAGAGGCCAGATCTTAGCTGATCTTTTTCTTCCTTAAAAAGGTTTGTTGGAGGCAGATGTGGTGTGCACTTATGAGGCAGAGGCAGGTGGATCTCTGTGACTTACAGGCCAGTCAACCAGCCAATGCCATACTGTGAGACACTGTATTAAAAGGAGTGGGGGCTGTTGGGCTTTCTCCTGAAGCTTACAGAAGAGTAAAGCAGGCATGCTGATGGAGACAGGCGATGGTGCTGTTGTTCTACCGTCTCAGCTATCTGTTGTTTTGATGGGTCTTCCCAGTCTGTCAGATGGGAAACTGAAAGCCGCCAACCATCTTTGTTGATTTGGTCTAAGAGGCAGAACTGAGAAGGGAGCAACAGGTAGCTATAGTTGATCTCCTTAGTCAAGCTTGCTGCCTGGTATCTTATCAGGAGTAGTATAATACAGATCTTTGTAAATAGCCTAGAATCGGGCAACATGGTTCATATCCTTAGGTTTTATGGTTGTGTGGCCTCAGGGAAGTCAACTTCTGTGTCTGTGTTCCTCTCTAAAACAGGAATCACAGCAGTGTCCACATCATGAAGTTATTACAAGGATCATGAGTCAACTAAAATGCTTAGAATGATAGCTGGCACCTAAGAAGCACTGGGAAGTGCTAGCTGTTATTAGTAGTGTTATCATTTGCAGGTCTATGTAAGCTAAGTAAGCCACCATTTATCTGCTTCAGCAGTTACTTAGTAACTGCAGTTTAACTGTAGCTCAGTGATAAAGCATTTGCCTAGAACGTGAGGCCCTATATTCAATCTCCAATGCTGCCTGGGAAAAAAATCTTAAAGTGCTTAACTGCACTTTATTTAAGGAAATGTTACACTATAGAGAAAGAACAGTGCTAACCAAATTGAAGTATTAAAGGTATGATTGTTATTTTAGACGCTACCTTCAAAGTCTCCATAATACATGTGCAAAATTAGGGTTAATTAGGCATTATAATGTTCTCAATGAATTAAATAGTTCAGCGAGAAAATGGCCCTCATAGGCTCCTAAGGAGTGGCACTATTAAGATGCATGGTCTTGTTGGAGTAGCTTGGCTTTTTGTTGGAAGAAGTTCATCACTAATCACTAGCAGGTGGATTTTGAGGTCTAAGTGCTCAAGCTAAGTCTAGTGTGATGTTCACTTCTGTTACCTGCCAATTGGATGTAGAACTCTGAGCTACCTCTCCACCACCATGTCTGCCTGCATGCTGCTATGCTTCTTACCATGATGATAATGAACTCTCTGAAACTGTTAGCAAGCCCCAATTAAATGTTTTTTATTGCTGTGGCACAAGGGATGACTCAGTGATTAAGATCACTAGCTGTTCTTCCACAGGACCTGGGTTCAATTCCCTGCACCCACATAGCAGCTCACAACTGTCTGTAACTCCAGTTCAAGGGAATCTGACACCACCACAAAGACATACATGCAACAAACACCAGTGCACATAAAATAGTTATAGGTAAATTTAAAAAAAAAAAAAGTTGCCATGGTCATGGTGTCTCCTAATAGAAAGTGTTTGCTATGCACTTGAGTGTGTTATGCACATGTCAGCCTAAGTTCAGTCTCCAGAACCCATAGAGGAAAAAGAGAACTGACTTCCAAAAATTGTCCTCTGACCTCCGCATACACCATTTTACGTGTACACTCTTGCACATCATACACATAATATTTTTTAAAGGAAGAGGAACTTAGCCTGAGAAAAGCTCATAATACTATAAGGTAATTATGATTTCTAGTTTATTGTCCAACAATGTGAAAAAGAACTATTGAGAAGGATCTAACATGTTTATTGTCTCTAGCAGGTCTTAGTGTGGCTGAATTATGTGAAAGTTGTGTGGCTCACATACATTTGAAATTCTAATTTCCAAAAAGATGTCTTCTTGATTTTGCCTGCTTTTCAAATTGGAATTTAAGTGCAGTACTAATAATGGTGTTTCTCCGTTACTGAGTTAATGGCAAAGTGAGCACATTGTGTGATGTTCAAGCAATAGAAAGCCATAGCTGTTTCTTTTTTTGTGGTAGTACCTGAAGGCGCACCATAATTTCATGTTTTAGGAGGAGTGATAAATTAACCTCCTTCTAATTCTGAAGTTGTTGAACACATTTCAAGATCATATAGAAACATGGGGGCCAGTGAGGACATAGAGTTGTGTAAGAGAGGATAACAATTGGGGTCTGTATTGACAGCCACTCATTTCCTTAACATGGTCTTTCCCCCCCCCCCCCCACGTTTTGGTTGGTTGATTGTTTGAGATGGGGATTTCTGCATATCAAGCTCCAAGTCAGCCATGCTTGGATTACACAGGATTTCTCTGGGTATCTCTGGCTGACAAAGCTGTATCAAACTCAGAGACCCACCTACCTGCCTCTGCCTCCTGAGAACTGGGATTAAAGGCTTGTACCTCTTCACCTGCCTTACAGTTTACCTATTTCACATAGAATAAGTGAATGTATACTTTAGAAAGGCCTCTCAGAAAATTGTCCTGTATTTCTATTAACACCAAATTGTAACTGATGTATACTTTTTTCTTTGTTGTTGTTGTTGTTGTTTTTTAGAAGACGTTTATTTGTGTAGCATTGGCTGACCTGGACGTTGCTTTGGCGGCTCACACCTGGAGTTCCAGTACTTGAGAGGCTCTGGCTCACCCATGAATTCGAAGCCAACCCTCACTACATTCTGAGTTCTGAGCTAGACTGGGCTACAGAGTTGAGAGCCTATTTCAAAACAATATAAACAATGTAAAATAACGTTTAAACTGAGGCACAATTTAGAAACCTCTTCTAGAACAATGTTTCTCAAATTTATCCAGAATCAACTAAGAAATACATTTTATATAATAACCACTGTGCCCACATGTAATTAAGACCATAGATAGATAGATAGATAGATAGATAGATAGATAGATAGATAGATAGATAGATAGATAGGACCTTATCACATGTCTTCAATGAGTACTACTGTGTGGTGTTCATTTAAAATGCTGGTGTAACCCACTGAAACCAATTCAGGAATTCACTGGTGACTAGGAATCTTCAGTTTAAGATATAGTCTCAAAATCAGAGAAAAAAAAAACTATAAAAGTTTTTCAGAAGCTTAAAATACTACAAGAAGTTGCTAGCTAATCCTTTATAGGAATATAGTACTTTTAAATTCAAGGCTTTTAAGTATTGACTGCTATATAAGTATAATGAAATGATTTTATGTAATGACTGTAAAATAATGCTTTGATCACCAAGAACAGCTTATAAGAGACAGTACTGTGTAGTTTCCGTTATTCGTGGTTTATTTGAGAATTTAAAACTTAGTAAATGATATACTTTCTATTTCCTGAGCACTCTTTTTTGGGGGGAGAAACAAGTCAAGCATTCCACTCAACATGTTACATAAACACTTGCTGTACATTTGGAGGAAAACAGCCATGCTTTCCACTTACTCACTTGTTTGACACTGTTGTGTGCAGAAGTTGGTGGCTGTATTAAGTATTCAGGTTCCAGACCAGGGAAATAGCACTTATCATTGTTGATCTCAAACTGGAAGCATAAGGGTTTATTAAATTGATAAGACAAGTTATTAACTAAAGTGAAGTTTAATGAAAGGTCTCTGAGAAGGTGGCCAGTAACTCAATTTATTTGAGTATACAATAGTTTAAAATAATAAATAGTGTTTAGGCCAGTTTTTATTTTGAAGCAAAATTGAGCCCTAAGTATATATATTGTCTTCCTACATAACTTTCCCATTGTTTCCTTTCCATTTGTTAATACTATGGGATGCTTTTTTAAAAGTTTTCTAGATGTGAATAAATAAATAAGATAAATGTCAGAGGAGGTAAAATGTACATCAGTGGCCCTAGCCTGTGTGTTTACCATTTCCTTGGACATTAGGAAGTAAAGATCTTGTGCCAAAATGAGGTTTGGGTCTCTAGGCTTCTCATGGCCCTCACAAATACAAACATCCTATAAAATACAGCCCTCCTTCAAGAGGCCATGCACTCACCCCTGTGCTTCTCCAGAATATAAATAAATCTTGTAGGAGTCTGAAAGTAGAGTTACGTTAACGCTAGCATTGTTTTCTCTTCAATTTAGTGAGTCATCACCCTGGCAATTTGACTTCAGCTCTGAAAGAATCATGAAAATTGTTAAGAATTCACAGATTGGCAGATAACCAGAACTGATCTACTTGTTTACATATGCACTTTCTTGTCTGCTGAAAAATCATAGTCCATTTTCTTTAGTAGATAAATGTTTAGTATAGAAAAAATTATTATCCTTTTTTTTATCTTAATCATCCTCCTCCCCCTTGTTTGTGCTGGCTTTGTAGCCTCAACAGCCTTAAACTCTCCTGTGTATTGGTAGTACAGGTTTGAGGCAAGTTCTCTATTTCTAATGTTTTCTAGGGCTCATGCACTCTTCTGAACACACATGGTGTTGATTCATTTAACCCTCACAGCAGTCTAAGATAGATTCTGTTTATTACCTCATCATATACACATGGACATCAAGGATCAGAGAACTTAGATACCCCCAATTTGAATCAGTGAATAATTAAGCCAATATTTACACCAAAGCTCCAGAATTTTGAATTAGCACCACATTAGCTTTCTTTCCTTTTCTCTTTCTTTCTTTTTTAGACAGATTGAATACCTTAAAAGTTACCAGATCCATTCACAAATGAAGGCCAAACAGCTGAATCCTCACAGAATCCAGAGTCTTCTCTGCTATTTCTGTTAGTGGTAATATTTGGATACGTTTTCTAACTTGATCAATTCAAATACGGTAGAAGAAAGTTCCCTATGTTCCAAACTAGAAGATCGTCTAGGGAAACTGTAAGTTTCAAATTAAAATGTTTGCCATCCTCCCCCCGCCCCAGTATAATTCCTGGGCGATCATGTTGTGAAGACAGCACTGCATAAACTTGAATCTGGAGCCTCCTTAGTTGATCTGCCCTGAGTCCTGGTTCGTCCCTCCCTTGTATACAGCACACCTCTCTGCTGGGTTTTGTCTGCAGGACTGACCCTGGTGTCACATGTAACTCATCATCCCACTTTTGGCAGTTGTCTCAGAGCAGGTGTTCTTAGTCCACTCAACTCTGGTGGGCTCACACCCTGGGAATAGACGTGGCCTTCCCTGGTTCAAGTAAAAAGCCAACTTCTAAGACTTTGTTTGAATAAAATATCCTGGATAATCCATTTTTTCCTTGTGTACGTTATGTTTAAACTTTTGGCATCTGTTACTATTTAGACAACAAAATCAATAAAGACACATTCAACACAAATTAACAGAAATCTTGCTAACATTCAGTCATAATCTAGTTCAGCAGCTTGTTTTGTTTTTCATAGATGCTTTTTCTTGGCTGTCATTTCATTTTGCATATTTATAATATTTTCTGTTAGAAAAAATGTTTCTAGTTTATAAAATGGAATTAAACAGATACATTATACTTGCTGTTCTACAAAAGCAGGAATTTTGCAAGTTTAAGAAGCTCTGAACTTTGTAGGGAGATTTTGCTTTAGATGCTATATAAAATAAGTTTTGGAGGTAGCAAAATAATTTTTTAAAAATAATGGTTAAAAAAAAAAAAAAAACACTGTGAAGCCAGGCAGTGGTGGTGCACATCTTTAATCCCCGCACTCAGCAGACAGAGCCAGGCCAATCTCTTTAAGTTCCAGACTAACCAGGGCTACATATACATACACAAGGAAACCTTATTTTAAAAAGGGAAGGGGCGGGGGGGGGGGGGGGGAACAGCTTGCAATGGAAGCCCAAAGACCTGACTTTATATCTCCAGCAAAAAGTCAGGCATGCATGTGTAGTTGGGGCTCAGAGACAGGCAGGTCCCTGCTGCTTTGTCAGCCTCGGCACATTTGTGAATTCCAGATTCAGTTCAGTTCCTATCTTAACACACAGCCTCTGATCTCTTCATATACCATGCACCCACACACATGCCATAAAAGAAAAAAACAAAAAGACGCTGCACACAGAGACACATGCATATGTAAAATAATAGGAGTAATAAAAGTAGCTGAGCAGTGGCGGCATACACCTTTATTCCCATCCATTGGGAGGCAGAGGCAGGTGGAGTTTGAGGCCAGTCTGGTCTAGAGTTAGTTCCAGGACAGCCAGAGCCACACATAGACCCTGTCTAAAATAATAATAATAATAGTAACTAAAAGAACTGGGCCTGGTGGTACATACTTGTAATGCTAACACTCCAGAGGCTCCCTGGGCTATCTAGTGCATCCGAGGAATGTGAGGCTTGTCTGGAGTCCATAACAAGACTGTGACTCCATAAAAAAGAACCAAAAATAGTGACAACAAGGAATAAACACCACGTTAGGGAAGCATTGAAAATCACCACTGCTAATTTTACTAATCTTACCTGTGAAAGGGTGTTAGTTACTTCAGCATGAATAGTTAATGATGATAAGTCACTGTAGGAGAATTTCACAACTGATCATTCAGAAAAAGCTCAGTTCTCCTAGCTTGTTTACAGTTATCTCAGGAAATTTCAAAAACAGGGCCTTATCCGTGCTGTCTGCACAGCAGAGGCAGGACTTGATGAAGCATGATGACCTTGAATTAAATCCTGTCTTCCCAGACAGCCTCCCCTGTAAGTAAAGAGTGAGCTCTCCAGGCTTGTTCTCTAATAATAGATCAAGGAAGCCTGAACAGGGGCAGAACATTTGGAGGACATCACGCTCTGACCAAACCTCCAAGGAAGGGCTTGCCCTTCTGTAATGAATATATTCAGGGAAATGCTCACACAAAGAAAAATCATCTGTTTACTCTGACTCATTTTGTGATGAAAACTAAGTTTCTTCAGAAATGTGCTGCTGTTGTGTATGAAGAGGTGGTGACCAGACTACACACTGAGTTCTTTCCTGCTGCTGTTGAAGTAGAAAAGTGCTACTTTTTTATATCCTGTTTTCCTTGTAACTGAAAGCACACAAACCTAGAAGGCAGCTTACAGTTAGATATGCACACTGTGATTTAAGAAATAATCTGTTTGAAGTTTGGTTAGGAATAGAAAGTTCAGGAACTAACTGTATTTCCTTTAGTGTAACATGAATTCTATCTAATTGGTATTAATTTTATCCCAGAGTCAGACACAGGGTTTAATGCTGAAAGATCAGAGAAGCAGAGCAACCAGTTACTATAGAGTTCTTACCTCTACCAATGCTCAGACCAAGGGGCAATTCTGTCTCTATTTAGCCTCAGGCTGCATCTAAACCCTGTCTCCTCCTGTCTTATATTCTTCTCTCCTCCCAACCATATCACTCCTGTCTCCACCTCCCTAGTGCTGGGATTAAAGACGAGGAATGCCAAGTGCTAGGATCACCTTTGTGTGAGTTGTTTTTCTTTAGACAGATTCACTCTTGTGTGGCCCAGGGTGGCCTTGAACTGACAAAAGATCTGTCTACCTTTGTCTCCTGAGCTGTGGTTAAAGGGTGTGCCACACTACCTGGCATCTGTGGCTAACTAGTGTCTTAGCTCCGTACTCTGATCTTAAGACAAGCTTTATATGTTAGATCACAAACAAAATATCACTACACTTTAGTGTTGCCAGAAAAAATTTTAGGGTATCTAAATGTATTTTGCATTTTTTGTTTGTTTTCATTGAGAGTCATATCCATAATCTATATAAAGAAAAGCATCAATTAAGGTAGGACATAAATCAATTACCTATTTGTTATCAGTTAATTTTTTGTACATATTTCATAGAATGTAGTTATACAAACCTACATGGTATCGTCCAGTCACCTCACGATGGCCTGGTGCTGTGGTTGAATCCCAGTGCACAGTGCATGTGACCTATGAATACAGTAAAAGGTGAGTTAAACATGAGGTGCTAAAAAAAAAAAAAAAAAAACTCCTGCCCTCATAACACAGCATCTGGCTTTACAGGGAGCTTTTCCTCCCTTTTCTTTAATAAGTATGAGAAGTACATTGTAAAATAACAGCAAAAACCAGCAACATTTATTATTATCAAGTCCTTTGTACTATAATTATATGTATTATACTTATATAAAATGTTATATCTTACATATACTTCTAAGTTTGTTTATACATACCAGCATCACCACAAACATAAATAATGTGCTGCACCATTACCTTAATTATGTGTCATTAAGCAATAGGAACTTTTCAGCTGTTATAATCTATGGGATCAGCATATATGAGAACTGTCACTGACTAAGATTGTGGCATGTGAGTTCTACATGATGAGATGTTCCTCTCAAAGTTTTACTGTATATCATCTCAGAATAAGGAACAGAAACTTACTTCCTCGTTAATTTCTTTGTTCTCAGTTTGCTAACAAGGAAGAAATTGGCATTGCCAATTAAAAGAATAAAACCTGTTTTATACTTGGAAAAATTGCTGAGGGATTCATGGCATATATAAAATAGTTTTTGTTTATTCAAAACAGATAACTATAATTTATATCTATGAAACAATATACACGCCGGGCAGTGGTGGTGCACGCCTTGAGTCCCAGCACTCAGGAGGCAAAGGCAGGCTGATCTCTGAGTTCGAAGGCCACCCTGGTCTACAGAGCGAACAAGTGCCAGGACAGACTCCAAAGCTATACAGAGGAACCCTGTCTCATAAAACCAAAAACCAAACAAAACAAACCATACTCAGCCAAGTATAGTATTAAAATACATCTGTAACCTCCTTACTCAGTACTCTTAAGTGAGGAAGATTCTAAGTTCCAATTAGGCTGGGTAACGTAGTAAGACCCTTGTCTCAAAATGTGCTTGCAAATGCATTCTTGTGCCATTTGGTAGAAATTAGTGGATCCTTTACTATATTGAGAACATTACAAAATTTCAATTATTATAAGCAGAAAACACATACTCCTCACACTGCCAATCCTATACTCATAAGCAGTGTGTGACCTGCTTTCTGTCTGTATAGATTTGCCTGTTATAGGCTGTTCATATGAGTCGTGGAATGTGTTATGTGGTTACTGGCAAGCAGTGTTTAAGCAACAATATTAGTTATTGTGCCTTACACAGTATTAAAAACCTTCAAAGAAAAAGATGTTAGGAATGAGAATTGTACTTGTTATTTAATTCTGTCCAAAGGAATATTTTTGCTTTAAAAAAAAATCTATTCCTAGCAACTTGTGACTTTCTAGAACCTTGAGCAAAAGCAATTGGATTGTCTATTTTCCATTTGAAAGAAGCTACCACTTGCACAGAAAGCTACTGGTATTGGTTTATCACTGTGCTGCCTCAGCAGTTCTCCAGGTGCTTTATATAGGCCACATTCATTATTGTGAATTCCAAAGTTCTGATCAGATTTTGAAGTGATACATGATTATTCTTTTTAAGATTCTCTCATTTTATGGAAAAATGTGTCAAAGCATAGCCATTTACTTTTAGTATATAAAGACTTGAATTTTAGACCAAAGTAATGAATCCACAAGTACATATTAGTTCTAAGTTTTGAATCCTTAAGTATGGAAGGAATTATTTTCGTTTGTGAAAAGAGAGAGTTCAGGGACCTCATTCTACCAAGTGCCTTCTGGCCTTACTCTCTTGTCAGCAGTCATCATTTAAGAATAATCTTTTTCATAAAATTGTTTCTCTTTTTAATAAAACGCTTAGATTCCCCATTCTAGAAATGTGTTTCAAAGCACTTTTGGAAGACTATTTACTGTCTACCTAAAAGAAAAGTTATAATTAATAGTGAACATTAGATAGAATATTCCATTTAGTACTTGCTTAAAATCTTTTTGAGTGATACAAACATATCAGCAGGCAACAGAAAGAGAAAGACACTGGGCCTGACTTGGTCTTTTAAACCTCAAAACCCTCCCCAGTGACACTTCCTCCAACAAAGCCACACCAACTCCAACAAGGTCACACCTCCTAATCTTTTTCAGGTAGTACCACTCCTTGATTAACTAACCATTCAATTACGCGATCAGTTGAGGGCCATTCTTATTTAAAGCACCACAACTCCGTGGTTCACCATTAAAGAGTTTCTGATAGTCAAGTCCAGAAGCAATGGTGCTTGCCTTTAATCCTAGCCCTCTGGAAGCAGATCTCTGAGTTCAAGGCCAGCCTGATCTTACTAAGTTCCAGAACAGCTAGCATGGCATAGTAAAACCCTGTCTCAATTTTTAAAAAAAAGTTTCTGATGTTCAGATTTTCTTACAGTTGCGAAATAGAAACCATCTGTGGTCAATTTCTGTATCATTTTTATGTGGTTCCATCAGACAGTGCCCCAATAAAGCTGCTTCATCAGTGAGTTTTTGAGTTCACAGTGGTCAATGGTGCAAAAGCAATGTACAATTAGTAGAAACTAGACTTGAAATTTTGAATTTTCAACAATTGTAGTAGGCCAAAACTCTAACCATTCAAATGAACCTGTGACTGTGGCTAAGCTCTTATGTTCTGGAAGATAGGATTATTCAGAATATTACTAAATTATCAGAAATTGAGCATTTGTAGTATTCGACTGTAAAATACCTAATTTAGATTCTAAAGTTTAGAACCTTTTTCAAAAAATTTCCTCCTTTCCAAAACAGGGTTTCCCTGTGTAGCAATAACAGCCCTGGCTGTCCTGGAATATTCTTTGTAGACTAGGCTAGCCTTGAACTCAGAGACCCACCTGCTTCTGCCTCTGAAGTGCTGGGACTGAAGGCATGCACCACTATGCCTGGCCCTTTTTCCAGTTGTTAAAGTAATGCATGTAACACCTATATAAAAAGTCCTGATATAATTAAAAGTGAAAAGAGATTCCTCTAAATATCATTTCTACCCTAGCCTTGTCTGTGTTCATCACTGAACTGCTAACAATTGGATATATTTCAAATCTTATTTATTTTTGAGACGGGGTCTCACAAAGCCTCAGATTTACTATGAAACCAAAGATGACCGTGAATTTATGGTTCTTGTGCCTCTGCTGGGACTTCATCCATGTGCCACCATGCCCAGTGATGCTTGGGATTAAACACGGGGCTTGTGCACATACCAGACTCTACCAACTGAGCTACATCCTCAGTCCATGGCCCTTTCTTTTGGTAGAGCTTGTTAGTCGAGCTACAAATATTTATAACTTGCTTTTTTTTTTACATTATATTAGTTTTTAAATTTTAATACAGAATATTGGGACAAAGCTCCCAGACAGCCATGCAAATGAACAGCAGCCAATCTGTAACTATATATATTCTATAAAGCATTACCTCTTTCCTTTTTAGTAATTGTTTAATTCATAATACAGATTTTTTTAATAGTTTCTTTAACCATTTGTCTTAGATTTCTATTGTTTGGATAAAACAACCATGAGGAAAGGGTTTTTTGACTCTTCCATCACTGTCCATCATTGAGGGATGTCAGAGCAGGAATTCAAGGAAGGAACCTAGAGGCAGAAACTGAAGCAAAGACTACTGAGGATGCTGCTTGCTGGCTTGCTTCCCATAACTTTCTCTGCCTATTTTCTTATACAGCAAAGAACTACCAGCCCAGGTGGGACATCATCTGTAATAAGCTGGACCCTCCACATCAGTCATTAGTCAAAAGTTGCCCTGCATACTAGTTTTATGGAAGCGTTTTCTCAGTTGAGAGTCCCTCTTCTCAGATGACTCCATAGCTTGTATCAAGTTGACAAAAAATTAAACACACCATTCCTCTCCTGATACTTGTTATATCAAGTTTTTTTGGGCATTATGGACAATAATAAGATTTTATAACATTCTTTTGTGTGTGTGTGTGTGTATATATATATATATATATGTATTTCTATAGAGTAGATTTCTGTGAGTAGAATAGTTAACTACCTAGATTGATTCATAAATGTGCAATCTTCCTCATCCTTTTCCTAACAAAGTTTTGACAGTCTTAGGCAAAAAAAGGGTAAATTATAATGAGTATTTTCCTGTTTACTAGTGAGATTATTCATGTTGGTTGACTACAAATTGTTTCTGTGGTTGCCTACACATCTTTGGGGATTCTTTTTTTTTCAATGGAACTTTTGTTTTTTTTAGTATACCTGGCTGTCCTGAGCTTTTGTTTGCTTGGACTGTAAGGATAGATATATTTGGGTAAATGTTTTGTGGATCTCTTGAGTTTGAGGCCAACCAGGGCTACACATAGAAAATCTATCTTGAAAAAGAAGGGGGATGGGGTGAGGGTATTCTTTGCTTGTTGTTGTTGTTGTTGTTGTTGTTAGATTAGCATGTAAAATAATGAGTTTCATCTGGTATCTTCATATGTTCTTGCTTCTCGCTCATTACCTTCCTTGCTGCCCTCACCTCTGTTTCCTACCCATCCCTAGCTGGGTACATTCTTTCCCTCCTTTTTGCTTTCTTTTTTTAAAATATTTATTTATTTATTTATTATGTATACAATATTCTGTCTGCATGTATGTCTGCAGGCCAGAAGAGGGCACCAGACCTCACTACAGATGGTTGTGAGCCACCATGTGGTTGCCGGGAATTGAACTCAGGACCTTTGGAAGAATAGGCAATGCTCTTAACCGCTGAGCCATCTCTCCAGCCCCCCTCCTTTTTGCTTTCTTGAGAGGGTTTTGTGTTACAATCCTGGTTTTATATTCACCACCGTCTGCCTCAACCTCCCAAATGCTGGTATTACTGGCAGTCACTACTAAACTTAGTTTAGTAATTTATCCACTGTTAATAATTGGTTTGAAATACTACCTTTGTCAAACAGCAACTATTTGCATATATAAACATGTGTTTCAGGATATTCTTGCTATATCCTGTATTGTCGTGATTAATTTTTCAGTGTTAGGAACCCAGCACAGGATCTGGTACATGATCTGGGGTTCTACAATTCTGCTACTTCCTCAGCTATAGTGAATATTTGCAGCATAGACAAATGTAACACCTTTACACAGTTAAAGTCATATTCTGCAGCATAAACAATGTAACACATCTTTACATAGTTAAAAAAATATTCCACAATACTACATGCCCCACAGACATAAAATAGTTAAAAATTAAAGACAAATTATCAGTCATCTAACCCAGGAGAAGTCCAATGGGTTTATAACACTTGGAATTACTGCCTACGTATTTGTTTGATGCATTAGTAACTCATTTACCTCTTTCTAAGTGTAAGCTTCTCTAGCCTACCCTTTTAAACCCTTTCACACAGTCATTCCCTGTAGTTTCATACCATAATTCTGATATACATCTCCTTCCCCCTTCCATGGTCTTAGACTTTTCATTTTCTCTTCCCTGCCCAGTCCAAACTTGGTACCTGAGAAGATCTTATTTGTGCCTATAGACCCATTTCATATACTAACTACCTTCTCTAGGAAGTTTGTCTTCATGGCGCCTGTAGGAGGGTTGTTCTTACCCTCAGTGTTCCTATGTGCTTCATACTACTTATTCCTAGTTTCAAACTTCAGGCTGAATTGGGGTAGTAAACAAGCCATAAATGTTAACAAGGAATAAAGTATGCCTACTTGCAGAGAACTCACTAGAGTATGAAAGAAAAAGTTTAGAAGAAAAATAGATAGGAACTAAATATGCTTGTCTATATGTGGTGCTTTATGTTTGGGTTTTTTTGTTGTTGTTTTGGTTTTTTTTGGGGGGGGGACACAACAGTTTCTTACTGTATAGCTTTCGCAAGCATGGAACTCACTCTAATGATCATACTGGCTTTGAACTCATAGAGACCCATCTGCCTCTGCCTCCCAAGTGCTGGGGATAAAGGCATGTGCCACCATGACCTGTCAGAGGTCATAAGAGTTATAACAGGTGACAACTAGTGTTTAGATATCAACCCACCAGAGGAATGGTTATCTGATAGAGGTTAATCCTGTCCAGATGAGTCTGCAGGACCATTGACTGAAACTGTTGCTAAGGCACTTGATGTCACCCCAATGTCTGCACTGTAATGTATAATCTCATGTGATGTGTATATTTAATCTCATGATTGCATCTCAGTCCAATGGGTACATATGTCTGTGGAAAAAGACTTCATTTAGCTATACAGCCTTGATATATAGAATATATACTGGGACATGCTTCATAATTGGATCTATTTGTCCTACAAGGACTATGAAAACTTAAAAAAAAAAAAACTGCCTTGTTCTTTTGCTTATTGGGTGATTTTCCCCCAATATGTGGGACCCCAATGAGAAAATTTGGTCACACAGTCAAAAACCTTGGTTCCCACAGTCAAATCTCTGCTTCATTCCCTGAGATAAAATTTATACGCCAGCCAGGCAATGGTGGTGCACGCCTTTAATCCCAGCACTCGGGAGGCAGAGGCAGGCAGATCTCTGTGAGTTTGAGGCCAGCCTGGACTACAAGAGCTAGTTCCAGGACAGGATCCAAAGCTACAGAGAAACCCTTTCTTTAAAAAAAAAAAATAGATCGCATTTGGGACCTTCAAAGATATGAGTATAGCTTAGGTGTCCCAAATTCTCCTACAGCTGACTTGGGAAAGTGCTAACCTCAGTTGACCCCCAGCTCTAACCCTACAAAAGTTATTAAACTCCCTACATTTACTCAACTTACCGATACAGGATTTTAGTATAGAAATGTAGTATTGCATACAGGATTTTAGTATAGAAATATAGTATCACATACATGATTTTAGTATAGAAATGTAGTATCGCATGTGAACTCCCCTTCTCCCTTCCTATAATTTAAAGTCTCCTAAATCACCTTTTTTGCCTCTTAGTGCTGCCCAGGCATCTCTCTAGCCATGCCTCCTTGGAGCCATAAAGAAGCTGTCACTTGGGACAGCTCTTATCTGTTTTATGACTTTGAGAAATTCTGGTTCTGTCACTTGGTGATTACCAGAGAATTGCCTTTGTTTGTGTGTGTGTATAAACTGGAAACTTTGCAGCGGGACAGAACAATAAACTGACCTGAAGAAGTACAGAATGGGAGAGTTTGTTCATTCACCTTCAGATAGCCAGAGGAAAAAGAGTCATTTTCACTTCTTGTAGATTCTAATCTGAACCCTGAGAGGGCTTCGAGGTTGGCTCTCCATTAGCCCTTGTTAATGACCCGCTATGTGTGTGCTATTTTAATCACTGATGGCACTTTTTTTTTAAATATTTATTTAGTTATTATTTATACAATATTCTGTATGCCTGCTGGCCAGAAGAGGGCACCAGACCCCATTACAGATGGTTGTGAGCCACCATGTGGTTGCTGGGAATTGAACTCAGGACCTTTGGTAGAGCAGGCAATGCTCTTAACCTCTGAGCCATCTCTCCAGCCCCAC